GTTTTCTTCACACAGAGAACTGTTCAACACTTTTTTTGCAGTGTTTTTAGTTGCTTTTTCATTTTTTTTTTCAAACTTGGACGACGGGCCTCCCTTTGAGAGACTTGCTGTTGAAATGAAAGATGGAAGCAGAAGTTTAAAAAAGATTGTTTTTATATAAAAGCAAATCTGAAATGTGGAGTTATTAGGTATATATCCCCTTCTTTTTTCCCCACTGATCCATGCACCCCACTTTTCCACTGTGCTTATACTGGGCCTGGCCCACAAAGAAAGTTCCTTTGTACAAACCTTGTTAAACTGTGATATTTTAACATTGCCATGCCATGCTAGGAATTCTTGTGGGAAATGAGTTGATCAGCATTTCTTGGACAAATGTACAGATGGGAATATAATGCAAATGTCACACTTTTCTGAACATTGCGTTACAGTTCTCAATAGTGTAAATATCTCAAATGATGCATTAAACATATGTTTTCAGATGAAATACATATTGCATTGCATATTGAAAATGTTTACTAAGATATATTCTGTTAGAAGATTAAATTGTTAATTGCAGACTAATACAGAAACAGTTACAGGTAAAAACATGCAAACCCCCCCCCCTCAGATTTAATTCAGTTTATTTCTCCAAATTGGTCTAGCCGTTCCTTGGTGTCGAGATTTAGAAATATAGTCAAACTGGCATTCCCCCCCCCCCAGAAAAATCATCAGTTTATCTAAATGAATGAATAAAGTTGTTTCAGTTTTTCATAATTTTGAGATCTTCTTTTTACTAAACTGTACAGATTTAGCATCCAAACAACTCTGAGAAAGGTCACATGAATTTTACAAGTATGGTCTTTAAAGAATGGAAGGGGGCTAGGTGTATTCCAGACTGAGACCTGTAGCAGCTTGAAACAGGATGGGAGGGAAAAAAATGGCTCCAAAGAAAATTTCACTCACAGTTTGATTTATAAAGCAGGCTTTATCATTCTTGAAGGCAAACATCTGCCTGGATCCTGGGATATGAGAAAAGCACAAAGTAGATATTCTTATACAGCTGGTAACCAGGTTAAAAGCACTAAGAAAAATGCAAATACATGGGAAAACTTTTAAGTTTCATCTGTACAGTGCTACTCCAATAAGCTTTGAGAATATCTCAGTCCCTGGAGGCAACAAAATACTGTTTTTGCAGGATTCCATTATCTAATATAAGAGCCAATATTTTTAATAAGTTGTTAGGGGCATTAATTATTCAGAAGGTAAGTAAATTTTGGACGTGTCCCAAAAGAGTTGGGAATATCAACTAAAAATTGTCACTCCTGAATACTGGAACTTTGATCCTCATCTTGCACTTCATTATTTTTAACTTAATTTTTGCTACTAAAGCTTTACATTCTTAGTCTTTGGGAGCCCGATTTGATTTTTTTGGGGGGGGGGTCTCCTTACAGAGATTAATTTCTTCTACTGTTGAAGCCAAGATTCATTTTTTTTCTGTAAAATTAGGCATAACTGAATATTTTTGGTTGGAATGTTTGGAATTCAATAATGGCCTTGTTTTGTTAGGTCTAACTAAAATAAATCTTTATTCAGTTTAATGTGGCTTAATCTTCAGGAAACAAATATAATTTGTAAGCTAAATCAGCATCATCACCCTCTGTTCTGGAAACAAATCTCTACTTAAGAATTATGATAATCTGACAAAGTTAAACATGATGAGATAAAAGCTTTTGGTAAAATCCAAGCAATATGTATTTAAAATAGTGAAAAGTACAAAGACATTATATATTTCTTAAAATGGTTTCACTTTATAATTAGTCAACCTTCATGCCGTGGTACTAAAAGTATTTCAGAAATAACCTATATAGAGTTCTCTATTTTTCCTTTTTTAATTGTTGCAGCAGAGAAACAGAATGTTGTCATTCAAAACCATGGATGTGAGTCAGACCATTTCATTAACACCTTGTTTTTAGGAGTACATCAGATGTTCTATATATAAAATTTAAAAGATAATGTTTGAATGGGATAAATTTAAAAATGTTCATCTAAAACACAGAATTTTTGCAACATCTGGAGAAAAAGTTATTTTGTGCAAATCTTGAATGGCTTATATTTGCTTTTGGATGCAACATATTACCTCCCATACCATATCATCTTAATTTTAATGGGAGTATTTGATCTTGGACATGTTTAAATTTGATCTTGGACATGTTTAAATCAAGGTGTTGTAAAATATAGGCTAAAGATGTCAAGAACACAGATCTTTCACAGAAGGCTAGGCTTTGTCTATCATCTAGCTCAGGGGTATCAAACTGCTGGTCCGCAGGCCGGATGCGTCACCAGGAAACTGTGCTCACCCAATTGCCAGTAATGGAAAAAAAGCTCCGATACGTTGCACAATGTCACATGACGTCACGAGTTTGACATGTCTGATCTAGCTCGTAACAGTTAAAGTTAAATATTCACTATAATTCATTCTTCTTCTAAGAACAATGAGAAAATCATTTTATGGAAATGGGTGGCTTTATAGCTGTAAAAAAGATGTTAGGAAATTGCCAGGGCCATGCAAGGCCTCCATATTCAGGTTCAAACAGGACCAAAGTTGGCTGCAGGTCTTATTGGCTTAATCAAATTGGGCAATGGACCAGATCAGAAACAAAGGACATGAGCAAAAAGCGAGGGCTACCACCTCTGGCTTACAAAAATCTGAACAATCAACATATGTTAGCAGAATTAGTGCCATATCATGACTTCAAGACTTCTGGAGTCCAGAAATGGTAGTTCTAAAGAAAGAAGTTTTTATGGAAAGATTAATAAAACATCAACATTGAACGGAAGACTCTAAAGCAGGATGTGAAACATGCGGCCCATGGGCTACATCCAGCCCGTGCAGGCCATGCCCATCCCAGCCTCACAAAACAAATCCTGATACGTCACGATACAGCCTGTGATGTGATCAAGTTTGACACCCCTGCTCTAAAGTGTGAGGCAAGAGGCTGATATACAGGTAGTACACTAAGCAACCAGAAGTCATAATTAAAAAACTTTGTATTCAGTAATTCAAAGATCCATCCAAGCCTCAACTTGCCACACTTCTATTGTTAAGAAGAGCCTTTATTCAAAAGGAATCTCCACTTTTCCATAAAATAGGTTTGCCCATTCTGATGTCTGCATCCCCTATATCTAAGTATTTTCTCAAGTTCTATCTCAGAAGGTTGAAGAACTTCATATAGGCCAAAATGCCAAATCTGAGAACCTCTTTAGGGATTGGGATTGCCTGTCACTTTCTGGATTGCATGTGAACAGCTTCCTAGTAAGCTCCAGAACTTTTATTTTGGCTCTTCTCTTCTCTTCCTTCCCTTCCTTCCTTTCTTATTTACCAAATTTATAAACCACCCATCTCCCTCAAAGGGACTCCAAAGGGTTCACTACTATGAACATAACATTCCATGCATCCCAGCATATTTAAATGATAAAATACAGCAACTGCCAGAATATAGGAAGGGGGTGTAACAAGAATATCAGCAAATGTTTAATTTTTATTTATAAGTTACCATAAGCTACATGAAGACTTCTAGAATTTATATTTACTCCTTATTGTAATGAACATGTTAATTAAAGAGGCAGGATAAAAATCTAATAATTCTTAATCAACTTGTTCTTAGTCAAGTTGTTACCCACATTTATAGGGTAATTACACCCTTAGAAAGATTACAGTAAAGTATGCACAGCTGTTAACATCTACACAAAAACCAAACATTTGCTTTGTTTCTGGTATTGACTTTAATGCTATATTGGAATGTCTTAAGTATCTCAACTTTTCATTGTTAGGAGCAAGGTGACCTTAATCTTATACAATAAATGCTACACGTCATAGTATCTGGAGGCTGGAAATCTACAAAAAAAAAAGGGGGGGGGGTTCTGTAGCATAGGCCAATGTGAGAATGTCTCAACTTTGTTTTTCTTTAGTCCGTACTGCTTCTCTAGGAGATATGTGGCTGAATTTTCTAGGGCGTTTATGCTCATAGAAAACTATCATTCCATTTTTCATGTATGCTTACAAAGATGGCACAAAGGCATTTGTGCTGCCTTGTTTGCACAACAGCAAACTTAAGCAATCCTTTTGGAGACATGAAATCTCCACATCTGATGTTTGCTCTTTGTGCAGGCTGGCTGGGGAATTCTGGGAATTGAAGTCCACACATCTTAAAAGTTGCTATGTTGGAGACACACTGTTCTACAGTACAGTAGTTCATGTGAGAAAGCATTCAAGGGCACAGACCTCCACCTGCAACAAAGACACACACACACACACACACACACACACACACACACACACACACACACACACACACGGAACAATCCTGCCACCTACTTTGTCAGTTTTAACTGAGGCAAAGTTGCTGAAACACAGTGTACACAAAGTGAAGTCCTGTGATCCAGTCAACAGTTCATCTCTGAAGTAAAGATGTGACATTTTCCCATTTTTGAATTAGAAAGAAGTAAACCAAGCTTCGGTTTCAGACAGTGCACATACGCACTTGGTCTGGGTGACATTTGCAAGTTGACTTAGACCCTGAATGAGCAATCCTAAATCAGATACCATCCCATTTTCAGTTGCAAGTCATCAGTAATGCAACAATGAGGATTCAAGTAATAAACATGCATGTTGGAACATATTGAACAAACTGAATTTTGCAAATATACTACCACGTCGATGTTAAGCTCTGTTTTTTTTAAGAAAAGGATCAAAAGCCCCCTATTAATCTTAATATGCCTATTTACTAATAAAATGTGTTTTGTTTTTTTTTCAAAAAAAAAATTGGGGGAACAGTAACAAAAAAAAGTTACGGGCATTCCCCAGCCTGAGAACGAAGCGTGGCGACTTTAGCATGATTCTCTTTTGCACAGGCTACTGTGCTCAGATTTCAAATTGCAAACTTAAGAGACGCAGCGTGAGGCTAAACAACGTGGCCTCGGCCTCGAAAGCCATGTCTAAAGAGAGGCAGCTGTACCTGCAAGTCAAACGCGCTCAGCGCTTGAAAACCGGGTCTGATTTATGCAAAAGCGCGGCGTCTCCAGGGCCAAACGAAACGCGCGCAACGGGGTCGGGGAGTCCATGCCGGATTACGGCCACGCGGGACTCAGGGAAAGAAGAAAGGGAAGGGAAGGGGGCAAAAAGTTTCCCCTTCCCTCCTAAATCCTTTAACCTCCTCTTCTCAGCATAGCGGGCCTACGTGAGCCCCACTGGGAAAACTTCAATAAGCAGCTCAACTTGCGTAGCGTGATTTGGCAAAAGCTTCGCCTCGCGGCGCGGTGGCGCGCTCCTCCCCGGCCCACATATGCTTTGAGTAAGCGGCCGCGTCCCTCTGCCTTTCGAAGTCTGTCTCGTAAACTCCCTCCATCCCTCTCCCCGCTTCATTTGTTCGTCTATTTATTCCTTCCTTCTTTTTCCTCAGAACCGAGCGGGGTAGGGAGTCAGTCTCGGCTTGTTCGCTTTGGATCCAACCCGAGGCTGGGTGAAAATGAGAGCGCGCGGCGGGGAAGAAGAGCCGGGCAGGGAAGATGTCGAGATCTCTGGGTTGCCTCCTACTTCTTCCCTCTCTGCTCGGCTCTCTTTCTCGGATTAGGAACATGGGGGGGGGGAGGGTTGGGGGGGGGGGATTGGAAGCAGCCCCAAGAAAGAGGAGGCGAAGAGTGGGAGGATAAGATGTCTGCTTATGATTATGAGGTGAACTCTGAACGTTTCCTATTGTTCCAGCCAAAGGCTCTTGAATGTTAATGCTTCCAGGAGATAGTGAAGGGGGCAGTTCTTCTCCCACTGGGAAAAAAAAGATGCATACATTATTTTTATATACACATATATACACATTATTTTTGTACACACATATATACACATCCAATTAGATTATATTAGTACAGGTAGTCCTCAATTTAGTGACTGTTCAAAGTTACAACAGCACTGAAAAAAGTGACTTATGACCGTTTTTGCACTTACGATCCTTGCAGCATCCCCATGGTCACGTGATCCAATCCAACCGTTTGGCAACTGGCTCATATTTATGACGGTTTCAGTGTCCTGGAGTCATGTGATCCCTTTTTGTGACCTGACAAGCAGAGTCAATGGGGAAGCCAGATTCACTTAACAACTGGATTACTAACCGATCAACTGCAGTGATTCATTTAACTGTGGCAAGAAGGGTTGTAAAATGGGGCCAAATTCATTTAACAAAAGTCTCACTTAACAACAGAAATGTTGGGCTCAATTGTGGTTGTAAGTTGTGGTCTACCTGTATTAGATTAAAATATTGAAATATGTAGATCTCTTTAAACTTTGTTCCTTAGAGAAGAGTCCCTGCTTTTTTGAGGCTTTATAACATTCTACCCATATTTTAAGACAGGGTTCCTTCTTAGGCCCAGTACTCTTCAATATCATTGTAAATGATTTAGATGAGGGAATAGAAGGGGAACTCATCAAATTTGCAGATGACATTAAGCTGGCAAGAATAGCCAATACCCCAGAAAACAATCTCAGGATCCAAAAAGATCTCCACAGACTTAAACAACGGGCCCTATCCAACAATATGAAATTTAATGTGGAGAAAAGCAAAGTTTTACACTTAGACTGGGAAAACCAAAAGTACAAGTACAGATTAGGCGAAACCTGGCTCAAGGGAACTCTAAGGGGACAAATTTTGATAAAATTTCATACAAAGAATTGTTAATTTGTTCTGGTTCGAATTGGCATTTGAAATCCCTAGATGTATTAAGGCAGCAAAATATTCTACAGTCATGGTTTCAATATTTACAAATAATGGATAGATGGACTGTAGACAAGAAAGAGGGAATAACACTAGAAGATAGACAATTGGTTATTCAGATTAAAAACCAAGGTCCGGCTCATATAAAAAGAATATATAATGTTTTATTAGAGTTAGATTCGGAAACAGAATTGGTTAAAGATTGTATGATTAAATGGGCTCAGAATATACAGGAGCCGATCTCATTGGATTTATGGGAGATAATTTGGATAAGAAATGTTAAATTTACACAAGCTCAAAATTTGAGAGAAAATTTTTATAAAATGTTTTATAGATGGCATTTAGATCCTAAAAAATTATCTTGTATGTATTCCAACATACAGCCCAAATGTTGGAGATGTGGCAATAATGATGGGACATACTTTCATATTTGGTGGAATTGTAAAAAAGTAAAGGCTTTTTGGATTATGATTTGGTGGAACATTCAAAAGATTTTTAGAAAAAAGATAAAGTTTACTCCTCAACTATTTTTACTTGGTATTTTTGTTGACTTAAATGAAAAAGAAACTACTTTGATGTTGAATTTATTAACTGCAGCAAGGTTACTAGTAGGTTTATATTGGAAGAAAGATTCTTTGCCTACTTTAGAAGAATGGATATTTAAAGTATCTAGTTTTGCAGAAATGGCAAAAATTTCTGCTTATTTAAAGGATCATACACAAGAAAGATATATTACTGTATGGGGAAGGTGGATAGATTATATTCAGAAAAAGTATGGAATTAAAAAGTTTTATTTATTTTATGAATGAATATCAAATATTATAGAGAATTGTTTTATAAGTTATGGAGTTAAAGGTTAATTATGATATTTTTTTTTCTTTCTCTCTTTTTTTTCTTTTTTCTTAATTATTATAATTTTCTTTTTTTTTAACCCTGTATTCTGCTCTGGGAAGTGAAGGGAGGGGGGGTGGGGGTGGGAGGGAGGGTAAGGGGGGGGGTTCTCTATTTTAAAATTTTATTGTATTTTTATAAATGATTGTATGTTTTAAAAAATAAAAATTTTCAATAAAAAAAAGTGCAGAAAAAAAAAAACAGTAACTGAAAGGGACCTTGAGCCAGCAGTGTGCAGCAGTAGTCAAAAAAGCTAATATAATCCTTGGTTGTATAAACAGAAGCATAGAATCAAAATCATGTGAAGTATTTATTAATACCACTTTGTAAAGCCTAGTAAGACCACAACTGGAATACTGTGTCCAATTTTGGTCACCATATTACAAAAAAGATGTTGAGACTTTGAAAAAAATGCAAAGAAGAGCAACTTAAACACAGGTATCAAACTGCCGCCCTGCGGGCTGGATGCGTCATGGCAAAACCACATCCACCCCATTGTCGGCAATGGAAAAAAAGTTGCGATACGTCGCAACACGTCACGTGATGTTGCGAGTTTGACACCCCTGAACTAAGATGATTAAAGGCCTGGTGATTAAAACATATGAAGAGTGGTTGCAGGATTTAGGTTTGGCTAGAGAAAAGGACTAAGGTGATATGATAGCAGTATTCCAGTGTTTGAGAGGTTGCCATAAAGAGAAAGGGGTCAACTTATTTACCAAAGCATCTGTAGGCAGAACAAGAAATGATGGATGGAAACTAAACTTCCTAACAGTTAGGACAATTAACCAGTGGAAGAGCTTGCCTTCAGAAGTTGTAGGTGCTTCATCACTGGAGGTTTTTGAGAAGAGACTGGACAGTCACTTGTCTGAAATGGTATAGGGCAGGGGTGTCAAACTGCCAGCCCGCGGACCGGACGCATCATCCGGAAGCCGCGTCCATTCCATTGCCGGCAATGGCAAAACTGTCCCGATTCATTGCGCAACGTCACATGACATCACGAATTTGACATGTCTGGTATAAGGTCTCCTGCTTGAGTGGGAGTTGAACTAGAAGACCTCCCTTCTAGCTCTATTCTTATTGGTGTTAAATTTTTCCCCTGAAAAAAGTATTTGTGTACATGGCCTTTCCTCAGAGTTTAAAGAGACCTAAAACAAAATGGATCAATGACATCAGCAAGTATTGCGGGCCCAGTTGGCAAAGGAATGCTTAAGACAGTATTGTTTGAAAACATGTGGAAGTGGCCTTCATCCTGCAGTGGGTAGACAATGGCTAGAATGATGATGATAGAAATATGTGTGTGAATGTGTATATACATATGTATGTGTGTGTGTGTGTGTATGTATATATATATACATGCATTATTTTACACATATCTAATATTGCAGATTAGATTACTATTACTATTACATTATAATACACACACACACACACACACACACATGTATAAAAAGCAGAATAGCAACAACTTAATACTACAGATAGCCTCTACTTACAACAGTTCATTTAGTGACCTCAAAGTTATAATAGCAGAAAAGCGACTTATGACAGTTTTTCACATGACCACTACAGCATCCCTATGGTCGTGTCATCAAAATTCAGACACTTGGCAACCAATTCATGTTTATATTGGTCGCAATGTCCTGAGGTCACAGGACATTGCGACAACCATCTGACAAGCAAAGTCAATGGGGAAACCAGATTCACTCTACAGTCGTGCTATTAACTAATCAATTGCCATGATTCACTTAACAAACGTGGCAAGAAAGGTTGTAAAATGGAGTAGAACTCAACTGTCTCACTTAGAAATTTGGGCCTCAATTGTCATAAGTTGAGGACTACCTGTATTCAGAAGGAGATTTGGAAAGGTTCAGGGCCAGCCTTGATTGCAAAAACAAAGGTGAGCTTTATCATCTTTTGGCAAGAGACAACAATGCCATCCTGGACATTGGATTAGGACAGCCATTTTTTCTCCTCAATCAGGATTAATTTAAGGGTGTTAACTAATATCCACTCTTCTGTTAAAAGGCTCTTATGTACACTACAGAACTTGTCAAGGCACGAATGGCTTTTCCAAACGAAGGGCTTCATCTAGAGTTACTTCAAGACCAGTCAAGCCATGACAAGGCCTCCATTTTTTGATTTATGATTTTCCCTCAGCCAGTCTTGTTCAGCTTTTACAGGGCAATAAGAAACCTTCTAAGCACAGATCCGTGCTAGTTCAGTTAAAATAGGATTGTGCCTTCCTAAAGCCAATGAAAAGAGCCAAAGAATGGGTCAAAGATTATATTAGAAAAAGACATTTGTTCATGCTGTTTGTTTTTTGGGTTTGGTTGCTGAATTCACTTCTGGGCTTAATTTCACAAAAGGTTGCAGAATCCTGTCCATACCAGGGATTAATTACAGTGCTTGAAATGGTTTATGCAAATTTCTTTTACCCCCTTAATCTTTCCTTCCTCCATTTTTCACTCACACGCACATCTGATGGACGGAATGGAGTACACACACACACATTTGATTTGCACAACTGCACCTTTTTATTGCTGCACTTATATGCTCAAGGTGCAAAATCCTGGGGTATTGCAAGTATGCCTAAGGTTTTAGTGTGATGTCATTTTACTCTGGAATTCCCACAGTACAGAAAGCCAGCATATTTATAACTAAAACTGAGAATTATAAAATCACAAGTCTTCATACCGTATTTTTAAAGTTAGATTGGCACTTGTTGCTAAGATCACAAGAACTATGTCGGACCCAGTTGTTCTGCAAGAAAATTTATTTTCCTCTGCAGCACCCATTCATACTTCTATGGGCTGAGAGTTAGTAAACACCACAAAGATATTACAAAATATCAATACAATGTTGATTGTGCAGCGTGAAATCCTTTAAAAGAGATACCCTTCCCCTGCTAATAAAGAATTGACAGCGAAATATTCCTAAACCTTAGAATGGGAACAGTAAACAGAGATGTCAAGGTTCCAAATTCTGGAATGGTATTATTAAAAAATAAAATAGGAAAATATAGAGACTAGTGTGTTTGGTTTAGTGATTAAAGGATTGGACTGGGACAGTAAGACCTCAGTTCCAATCCCACCACAGCTTGCAGGCATTCACTGTATCTCATCTCAAGGAAACTCAGAGGGATTTTACTGGACTAAAATGAGAGGGGAAAGTATCAAAGAGACACATATTATTCAGTAATAAATCAATGTCTGTTTAAGTCATTGTGCATTGCTTTTCACCTTTTATTGTAACTTCATCTAAGACCTTTCATGCTAGCCACACGAGCAAGGAGGACACACAAAAATACAAATAACAGAAACATCCACAGATGGGCAAATCAGTCTATTTCTGACTGGTGTCACTTTTGCATCCATCAGCCTGCTCTATCTCACTGCCACATTAATCTGCTACTTAATTTTAAGTGACAGCCATCAAAATGTCACCAAAGAAGGTGTGAGGTACGCAATTCTCCAGGCAGTCTTCATCATGTCGGATACTGAGTACAGCTGGGGATGGGGAAGAGCAGGCAGAGATAACAACAACAACAACAACAACAACTGTTGCTGTTGAAGAGGCGTAGATAGCATTCAGAACTGGATCTGCATTTGCAATACCGAGGGCAAGGAAGGAAATCCAGAGATGCTTTGATTGGTGAGATTGGTAACAAGCACTTTTAAAATATATAATCCAGCAATATCCAGCTTTATTTTGAGTTTTAAATAAGGTATAGAGCAGAGGTCCCGAGCCTTTTGGGCACCAGGGACCGGTTCCATGGAGAGAAGTTTTTCCGTGGACGGAAAGTGCATGGTTTTGTGTGCTGCCTGCATCTCACAGAGGGGGCTTTGCTTGTTTGTGCGGACCGGTTGTTGGCATGCCACTGCCCAGTACCAGTCCACAGACTGGGGGTTGGGGGACCTCTGGTATAGAGAATTATTGCAAAATAATTGAAATAAAGAGAATTTAGCAGCTTCTGTGTGTGTAGGTCTGGGACTGAATTTATCATGGAACTTTCAAGGAATGTAACTTTCAAAGAATAAAATCTATATTCAGGTGGCGGAAAAAACCTTGTCTTTTAACTTTAGGATGCTAATCCTGATAAGCAGCTATCAACATGTGGACTACAATTGAGAACTCAGAGTCTGCTCTTGTGTTCCCTTTTCGTTTTCATTTTGTCTTTTTTAAAAAATAATTTTCAAAATGTTATTTGAAAATAGCATGTACTTGATCAAGCCGAGTGGGGTTTCTAAAGAGAAAGATGATCCAAGCCCACATTAATGTAAATCAGGCAATTTCAAATTTTTGATGATTTCGCTTAGCTTCATTTTGTTTTTTAATTGACAGAAGCATTCTCCAAAGCACTGTGTTCTATTTGCCGGATTTCTTTTACCCTGATATTTTAATTCCAATCATAACAACTTTCATGTCTGCCAGTAAAAACAGTCAAGAATGGTTCATGAACCTGCCCACTTTTTTCTCTGCCAGTAAACTTTGGGAAGCTTCTGTTCAGATCTATGATACTGTGTTTCTTCCTTTCAGTGCCAAGTAAAATACAGTTAATTAAGTCTTCAAATTATGCAAGCCTCACACTTTCACTGCACAGCCATCCTGCAGCATAGATAATATATAAAATATCAAGCAGGGGAGGAAAAAAATCACAATTTAGTCTTGATCCACAGCACTATTGTAAATGCTGTAATTACTTAAACCCTATCCCGTGGATTAATTATTGAGAATGCCACAATGGCTAACCTCTCATATTTTTATATTTTACTATCCATTTGCATGTATTTATTGGTCTTAACATTGTACTAGTTTTCTTTTGCATGTCTTTTATAACACCATTTATCTTCATTAAGCACATTTTAATAGACTTGTGTTATTTGTATAAGATGAAATAACCATTACTTAGTTACCTGGAACTCATTTGCAATATAAATCTTACATTATAAGTGAATATGCTTTTTTGTTTCATTTTTTTGAATCAGGTTGTTGAAGGCCACTCAACACACATACAACTAGGCCCTAAGAAAAATGGTGTATAATAAGGGTCTCGGATTTAGTGGAAGGAAAACACGAAAGCCTAAGATGATATGTGGGAGAGACATTGTATCAGAAGATTAATGGGGCCCATAATTGCCTGATCAAATGTAGTAAGTGACAACCACCGGATCCATTTGGAGGCCAGAAAGTAATTCCTGTTTGGTGGCAAGCTGGATGTGTTCCTTTATTATTTTGACATTAATGTTTAATTACCACTGTTTATACAACATTTCATAGTGGTCCATCATATCGGTGCAGAGTCAATATTTAACATTGGTTAAAGCTTAGACGTCTGGGGAGATCTAGGATCGGATCAAATCTTCATTCGGCCATGGACCTTTGCTTGACAGCCTTAGGTAAGTAACCACTTTTCAATCTACTCTGGATAGTGATAAGAGGCTAAGAAATTGCTTAAGTAAAAAAAAAAAATCACAAAATACCAAAAAGCTTTGAAAAATGTAATAAGAATGAAGTGGGTTGCTATTCATTAGTCTTATTTTGTCATAGAGTATCTTCATCTTGTACATTAATATTGGGTGCAGTTGCAAGACTACCCATGCATTTATTCCATGTTGTGCTATTTCGTTTGGATTACTTTTCTAATTCTATATTATCATTCTGATAAGATTGTGCTCATATTGCAAATATAATAAGGGAATCAATTTTTTTTTAAAGTTATGTTACAGAAAGAAGTTGATTTGTTTTTCCATAATAATTAATTGCATTTTTACTCATAATGTTTGCATTATCCATAAACTGCTTTGGGGAGTCTATTCCCTTGAATGATAGGATGTAAATAAATGTCCTAATTAAATAAATAGGATAAAACTAATCATTAAAAGTAATAATACCCCAAATGGGAGAATGAGGTACTTCATCATTCATCTTTTCAAAAAAGTTCAGGAAAATAACTTTTTTTCCAGCCATCCCACAACAAGATCAATCAAGAAACCCGGCTTTTGCCTTTTTATTGAATTTGCTATAGTTGACCTCTGTTCTCAAACCAACTAACACAAATTCACCAGTAAATGAAGTACCTGATTTCCTTAGTAAACCAGGAGGTTCATTGCTAAGACTCAGTGAGTGAATGAATAATAGTTTAAAATCATTATTTCTCCCACTCTGTATATCTCCTTTGGAATTTTATTTAAAACCACTGTAGAGTACCAAAGTAGGGCCCCAGCTCATCAACAGCCCTTACGTAGCACTCCACCCCATTCCCCAGCACTCTCCCAAAACTGGTGTTACATTCTTGGTGAGGAGAGGCCCTATATTTTGCAAACCTAAGGCATCCTTTTCTGCACTTAAAACTCCTAAAGCCCACTTCCAAATAGCCTTGGCCCTGTATATTTTAGAAATGTGGTCCTTGCTGTGTCCTTCAAAGCTTGTTCTGGCCTTCAAGGTAATGGGAAGTTATGCATTCCTGCTAGACAATATGGATAGACGAACCACATGGCTAAGCCAAGCACATTTTCCAGCAGTAGAATTAAATACAACTTCTCAAGGAGATATTGTTACTGTCCCAAAGCTAAGGTTGTCCGAACCAATAAGGCAGACATTTCCTGTTTCTTCAAACTGAGGAAATGTTTCCCACTCCATATAATAATTAGTGTGGAGCAAAAAAAAAAAAAAAATGCTATAATTTTACAGTCCTCGCAATTAGCAAGAAGCATCAATTGATGTGTTTCCTTGTTTATCTTTAGGCTGATACCAGCCTCCAACATGATACACGAGCTGTGTAACTAACACCAAGAGACAAATAGGCAGGAAGACAATTTGATAATGATTTCATTGCAAATGCTGGAAATTGGCTAGAAGCATGAGTGTCTGTGGGAATTTTTCTGAGGGCAGAAGAAAACAGCAATGTCTAGTTCTGTAAAAAAAAAAAAAAAATCCAGTTTGGATTTTCTGTTTTTTTTTTGGGGGGGGGGGGTTGCACGTCTTTGCCATTGAATAGTATCAGACCTTCACATAGGTATTTCATGTGTAGTGCTCATTTCATTTATATTAAAAACTAAGCTGTCCAACATATTATAAACTAGTGGTAAAAATAACCACCACCAAAACCCTTCAAACAATTCAATTCATGGGATAAGCTATTCTTTTTTTCAGTAAATGGGGTTTATTTGGGAGAGCCAGCTTTATATAAATCTCACAAACATTCCTTTCCTTTATCACAGTGAGATTTGCAGCAGACAGTTCCTGGAAGCATATCATGTCCTCCCCAAAGAAAGCTCTAAAGCAATGATATATATTTGGGAAAATCTGTGGAGCTCCATCAATTGGAGTCATGATTTTGAATGGGAGATTTGAGATAATAGTGGGATTATTATTAGGATCAGGGGTTGCAGTAGTTTTTGTGTTTTTAATCCTTGTGTACCAATCAGAATCACCTGAGATATAAAATATCCTGAAGGATGTTCAGCTTATCAACATTACTCCGGGAGAACAACCTAAAATCATCCCGGAAGTCTCAAAGAATCCAAAATTATATCCAGGGCTTTGCAAGCATTTCTTGGTGTGACCATCTAGACTTCTGGAGTAAAGTTCTATCTTCACAGATGAGTAACAAAAAGGAAGTGTATATAACAATGGAGAACTTTACAGCAAGATAAACATGTTCAGAAAAATGTATTTTTTAAAGCTTTAAGTTAGCTTTAAGTTATAAAGCAAACTTTTGTATTTGCTTGCACCTTTTTTGTGCAAACATACTATTGTCCAAATACACTTGCCACAAAAGACTAGAATGCTGAATTGTTTTGAGAACAACACTGATTTTGCTCTAATAATTTTTTAAATTGTTCTTTGTATACCATCTATTTCAATCATTTGTAAGGATGTTCATTCCTTGATTCAGAACATTAAAGATGGGGAAGAACATTTTTGATAAAACAGGCAGAACAGTGGCTACATGTTTTTCTTTTCATCTCAGCTTAAAAAATACCTCTTTTATTAATGAAAGTGTAGAATGGGATCAACTGGGCTAATATGTGCCATTGTATTTCTCAAAATTTAAAAATAATAATAGATAAATAACCTTTATTGTCATTTTTTTTACTGTGGGCACATTGGCACACATTAGAAATGAAATTTAGTTGCTTGCTTTCAAGTGTACACATACATAACACACATTTAAACATGCTATGTACAACATAGGTATAAACCTACACCAGTGATGGCGAACCTTTTAGAGCCCAAGTACCCAAACTGCAACCCAAAACCCACTTATTTTTCACCGAGTGCTGGGTGGGCATGGCTATGGTCATGGCAGACTGGTAGGTGTGGCCAAGGTGGGCGTGGTCACCTCAATGTTGGGGAGGGATGCCTGTGGGCCCGGGCAGAGTTGGGGGATATTCAGGGGGTCTCTGGCAGGTGAGACGGTGGGCAGGAGGCTCATCCTGCGGGGTGAGGTGAGGCAAGGCAAGGCAGGGGTGCCATTGCCATGGGGCAAAGCGAGGCAGGGGCCAGGGTGGCTGCTGCCTGACACCATTGGCCCCCACACACAGAGGCCAGCAAGCACATGGGAGCCGACAGTGTCCGTCAGCAGCTACAGCCTGCCGGCCCCTCAATCGGTGCATTCTGGGGCTCTGCAGCCCACTGCCAGCAGTTCAGAGAAACCGCCTTTGAGCTGGACAGCCGGCCAACAGCTGAGGAGGCGATGCAGTGGGTCGTGCCCAGGAAAAGGAGAGCATGTGAGGCCAGGAGGGATGGGATGGGAGGGAGGAAAACCAGCCATAATGGATGCATCCGACCACATGGGACCTCGGCGAGTTAACGGGTGGCTGGTTGAAGAGGGATGGTTGCCATCTCCAGGGCATGGTGTGCGTGCCCACAGAGAGGGCTCTGAGTGCTGCCTCTGGCATGCATGCCATAGGTTCGCCACCAGTGACCTACACCCTCACATATAAATAACATATAAATTTTATTCACAGTCTTTTTATTTTATTTATTAATACTGTGTTTTTCTATAACAACATAAAATGAAGACTACTATTATAATTATTGGTGTACTGAAAGCAGAATTAGTCTAAAATATTGTAAATTTCAATTAAAAGTGCTGAGTATAGATAAGGATATATTGATGCACACAAACAAACCAAAAGGGAGGAGGAGCCTGCAACACAGAAAGTTAGGAAGTGTCTAGAAGAGCCTGAGATTATGACGACCTTTTGAGTTCAACCATAATTATAGGCTACAGCTGGGAAAAATCAGACTATGCCAGACTATACCAAGGAAGACACTGTTGCATGCAGTCGTCTTCCTGCCTTTTTCACCTGGCAATGGGAAAATTCAAGAGAATAACAACAGAATGGGCACCTGCAATGGGCTTCTGAAGTTGTACATTGCCAGCTATTTTCCCATAAACCGATCTGACCTCTACATTACATTTGGTCATGATGTGTCAGCCCTTTGAGGGAGTGTCATATCTGAGACGTTTTCTCAAATTACATTTCTACTTTGGACTATGTCTTCTCTCACCTGACTGGTGCTTTGATTGTAGTTCTTCCTCTGTTTCCTCAAGGTTATTATCACAGCCCTTTATGGGGTGAGAATTAATCTTCAAATTTTCTATTTTTCCTTACCTTCTCTTTTCTTTTGCATTATGCCTTTTTCAGTTAGAAGCCCAGGGGTACAGATATTTTGTTTGCAGAACCATCCACAAAAGGGATCTCAAAAGTCAAGAATGGCAGGCACAACCACATAAGACAAGACCTGCTACCTTTTTTTCTCTCGTGCAGCTTAATCTCAAACACACCTTTGACTGCACATTCAAACATAATTGAATTTTTCAACTTCTGAGGATTCCTCTGCTTGTTTTTATTCATAGGGATCTCTTGGCTATAAATGTTTTTAACTTCTATGCTTTGATTCCAAATCCAACTTCTTTGTTTGACCACTTCTTCTTCCAGTGCTTGGTATTTCCAAAAGTATTCATGCATCTTGAGAACACTGTCTCAGATTAGGTGCTAATTGTTCCACCATTATCTGAGATCTGCTTGGCTTTGCTTTCTGCAGGGACTAACCTAAGCAAGGAAGACAAGAGACATTTTGTTCCTCCCATCTTTTTATACACTTTGCCCTTCTAGCTTACAGGAGGAAGGTTTGGAAAAGCAATGCTTCTATCATTCAGAAATGTCCTTTGAGAGGAGGGAACAAAAATAGGTGATGAAAGGACAATGTGTATGTTTTTTACAGAGTGTTGCTTCTGCCATTTGATTTTTTTTTTTATAACAGGTCCTGGTATAAGTAGGCCTGATTCTGCCTCCCATTTCTTCTTAGGGACAAACCATTGGAAAAGACTCCTTTACCAAGTTTAAGAAACTGGGGTTGTTTGCAGAGAAACAAAAATATTACTGATGGTCCAATATAATACTCTAGCTAAGATCCATATTATCCCAAAGCTAGGCATTTTTTTCCCCAGCGCATCAGACAGAAAATCCTATCAGGCATTCCTTTCCATCCTGGCGACAGAAAATGCAGTAATCGCCAATGGAAAAAACTAAGAATATACTGCCTTTTGTGATACTGCGAACCTGTCTTGCTCAATTTAATAGTAAGGTTGGCCTTATAAAATAGGGTAAAAGTGTTTTGAACGTAACTAGAGAATAGGATAAGGGAAAAACTTAGGGAGACTAAGGGCGAAGAGGCAACAAGTTGAAATTTATCAACCATCCAAGAAAAAGAAAATCACAAAGCCAGTAAAATGCTGGCTATGATTAATTCACATACTGAAAGGGAGTTATAATGTCTACCTGTAGAATTTAGCTTCCTGTTGGCAATTTGTTAGTTCTGTAATAAGCTCATAATATTGCATTAGTTGGTGAACACACACTGTTGCAATGTTGTGGTTTGACCAATCTCAGAAAGGACCCCATGTATGGAGAAGAATAGACAGTTGATGAGAGAGTAGCTGCTTGTGTACTCAGGGGAAATCTGATTGTGAGGCAGAGTACATCACGCTTGGTTTCATCAGGACTTAAACTGACCTCTGGCTCGCCTTTGAAGAAACAAATGTGGTTCTGTGGGCACTAATTCAAAATAAGCCAACACAAATTAGTTCCATGCACTATCTAAAATTCAAAATCATTTCCCTGAAAGAGCACTACAAAGCTAACTGAATTACAGCATTCAGTCACAAATGCAGGACTATCAGAACAGGTAAAAAATTTTTATGGATCCATGGAGGTTCCTCTTATAAAACTTTACCAGTACTTGGAAAATGAGACTTCAGAAGATTTAGAGCAGGGGTGTTAAACCGCTGGCCTGTGGGCTGGTTGCCTCATGTGGAGGCCACGTCCACCCCAGCTCCGGCAATGCGAAAAAAGTCACGACACAGTACGTGACGTGGCGAGTTTGACACCCTTGATTTAGAGGAGTCTTTTCTGTCACATGGTCCCTAAAAATCAGCCGAATTGTACCTTTCTTTATTCTTAAATTGGTTCATTATCTGGTGTCAGATTGAACTATAGTTTCTCATTACAAACATTTCACATGCTCATTATCGGGCATCATTAAGTTACTTAGTTTTAAATATTCCAGTCAACTCAAGTATTGAATTGCTTTCTTGAAATTTGACAATATGAACTAATTTTCAAAACGTCTACAAAGAGGCCTCCTCTTTAATAACAGGAAGCAGGCAAAGGGCTATTATAAGCTGCATTTCCTGATGTAAAAATGCATTAACCTTCAGTGGAATTACACTGATTTACACTTGAGAATGATTTGCTCAACAAAATATAGATTTATTCCTATAATCTGCTTCTAAATTTTGAGGCTTAAAAGGGGGGATGTAATTTGGTTTTAGAATCACTGAAGCGGAAAAGATTCTATGAAGTAGATATTTCTTTGATAAAGAAAGGAGATTGCACACATTTGTTATTTCAATTTCTACCTTAACTTCTAATCAAACAAAGCATAAAACTCTTAAAGCCCAATATTAAAAACAGGTTGCAATTATTAGTATCCCACCCTCTTGATCTTTAGGAAAATTAGAAAGACCTGTCTTGCAAAAGAAAAGAGGGTTTGTATTTAAAGGTTCGTGGTTGCCTCCATGTTTTTGTTTTGCCTTTTTTCCTCTTTTTAATTTTTATAGGTATTAGAGGTTAGGGATTCATTGTTTTATATGTTGACACTGTTAGCCACCAAAGCCTTCAAGAACGGGCAGCCCGTAAACCGAATGAATGAGTGAACTAAAGTCACAACTAAAGAACAAAGACATACTTTGTCAAAAGTAGAAAGTGTGGAGGATTTTCCAAGAACTGCATTCCATAGTTTGGAATGATGCTACACATTGGCTACAACTCAATATTTTGGCTAGTTATCTTAAAAATATTCTCTTTTTATTAAATACAATTCCCAGAGCTATTTTACAGATATGCATATAAAATGCTTCCTGTTACACAAAGGAGCTGATTCAGCAAGACATAAATGTTGAAGAAATTGAAAACAGTGACAGCGAGACTATCAAATTCAACCTCATATTTATGGAAGAAAAGGTGACCTGAATTTAAGATGATTTTCACAAAAGGAAGATTTATCGTGTTCTTTCACTTCACTCTGAGAATCTCAAGATGCTCCTTCATTTTTAGAAGTAAATCATTTGGGAAGAACACTAGCTTTCCTTTCAGATAATACAATAAATTTAAATGGAAAATTGCCAGAATAGTCCAATACTGTACTGTTTATTTTGTTCAAAGAGAAGATTTCTAGAAAAGGGACTTGTCAAAAAGGAATCTCCAAAACTTTGAGGTTGTTCAAACACATAATAATAGAACTTCAGCATACATATATATATGTAGGTATATATATGTATATATGAGTGTATGTATGTTTGTGTGTGTATATACACACACATATATACAGTGCATTTAGAAAGTATTCAGACCCCCTTCATTTTTGTCAATTTTGTTATTCTACAGCCTGATTTTACAGTTGTTGAAATTAATTTTTTTCTCATTAATCTACACTCAGTACCCGATAATGACAAAGTGAAAACAGGATTTTAGAAATGTCTGTAAATTTATTAAAAAGAAAAAACTGAAATATCACATTGGCATAAGCATTCACCCTTCGTTCAGTACTTTGTTGAAACACCTTTGGCAGCAATTACAGCCTTGAGTCTTTTGGAGTATGACACGACAAGCTTTGCACAACTGGATTGGGGGGGGGGGTTCTGCCATTCTTCCTTGCAAATACTCTCAAGCTCTGTCAAGTTGCATTTTTCAGGTCCCTCCAGAGCTGTTCAATAGGGGTCAAGTCAGGGCTCTGGCTAGGCTATTCTAGGACATTTACAGAGTTGTCCCTAAGCCTGTGTTGTCTTGGCTGTCTGTTTAGGATCTTTGCTATGTTAGAAAGTGAACCTTTGGCCCAGTCTGAGATCATGAATACTGTGGAACAGGTTTTCATTGATGATATCCTTGTACTTTGCTCCATTTAGCTTTCCCTCAACCCTGACCAATCTCCCAGTCCCTGCTGCTGAAAAACACCACCACAGTCTGATGCTGCCACCACCATGCTTTACTGTTGGGATGATATTGGGTAGGTGATGAGCAGTGCCTAGTTTCCTCCAGACATAACATTTAGAATTGAGCCCAAACAGTTCAATTCTGGTTTCATCGAACCAGAGAGTCTTGTTCCTCACAGTCTGAGAATCTTTCAGATCTTTTTTGCGAAGTCCAAGGGGCTTTCATGTGTTTTGCTTAGAGGAGAGGCTTCTGTCTAGCCACTCTGCCATGAAATCCAGGTGGAGGGTTGCAGTGATGGTGGTCCTTTTGGAACTCTGTCCCATCTCCACACAGGATCTCTGGAGCTCAGTCAGAGTGACCATTGGATTTTTGGTCACCTCTCTTCCTAAAGCTCTTCTCCCCTGATTGCTCAGTTTGACCGGGCAATCAACTCTTGGAAGAGTCTTAAGTTGTGCCAAACTTCTTCCATTTGAGAATTATCGAGGCCACTGTGCTCTTAGGAAACTTCAGTGCAGCAGAAATTATATTGTAGCCTTACCCAAATCTATGCCTTGCAATAATCTTATCTCTGAGCTCTGCACGTAGTTCCTTTGACCTCATGATTTTCGCTCTGCTACAGTATGCGTTGTCAGCTGTGAGGCCTTCTATAGAGACGTGTGTGCCTTTCCAAATTAAAGAACTCTCTGATAAATTGAAAGACAAAAAGGACAAGTATAAAAAGTGGAAAGAGGGGCACATAACTAAGGCAGAATATCAGCAAATAGCCCAAGCCTGCAAAGATGAAGTGAGGAAAGCTAAGGCTCAAAATGAACTAAGGCTTGCGACAAAAGTCAAAAATAACAAAAAAAGTTTCTTTCAACATGTAAAAAACAAGAAAAAGGTTAAGGAAAAGATTGGTCCATTATTGGGAGAAAGTGGCAAGAAGGTGACAAGCAACAGGGAAAAAGCAGATAAGATAGGCAAGAAAATGGTAAGTGAGCACCTGTCCATCCTAGACAAATCACCAGGACCAGATGGACTACATCCCAAGGTTCTCAAGGAACCGGCAGATCTCAGAACCACTGAACTATATTTTTGAAAGATCCTGGAGCACAGGGGAACTACCAGAGGACTGGAAAAGAGTTGATGTAGTTTCGATCTTCAAAAAAGGGGAAAAAATGGATCCAGGAAACTACAGACCTATCAGCCTGACCTCAATACCTGGGAAGATTCTGGATAAGATAACGAATCAGTGAACACCTAGAGGCAAACAAAGTCATTACCAAAAGCCAACATGGATTTGTTAAAAACAGATCATGCCAGACAAATCTTATTGAATGTTTTGATCAGGTGACAAAATTAGTGGACTAGAGGAATGCTGTGGATATAATTTACTTGGACTTCAGTAAGGCATTTGATAAAGTAGACCATAATCTACTACTTGATAAGATAGAAAAATGTAGGTTAGACAGCATCACCACCAGATGGATTCATAGCTGGCTGACTGGCCGTACTCAGCATGTGGTCCTCAATGGAAATGCAACTATATGGAGGGAAGTGTGTAGTGTGGTGCCCCAGGGATCTGTTGGGCCCAGTGCTCTTCAACATCTTCATCAATGATTTGGATGAAGGGATAGATAGGGATAGAACTCATCAAATTGCAGATGACACCAAGCTGGCAGGAATAGCCAACACTCCAGAAGATAGGCTTAAGATACAGGAGGATCTTGAAAGACATGAATTATCTAACAAAATGAAATTCAATGGTGAAAAAAGTAAGGTTCTACATTTAGGCAACAAATACCAAATGCACAGGTATAGTATAGGTGATACCTTGCTCAATAGTAGTAACTGTGAGAGGGATCTCAGAGTCCTAGTGAACAATCACTTAAATATGAGCTAGCAGTGTGCTGCAGCTGCCAAAAAAGCCAACACAGTGCTAGGCTGCATTAACAGAGGGACAGAATCAAGATCACGTGAAGTATTAATACCACTTTACAATGCCTTGGTAAGGCCACACTTGGAATACTGCATCCAGTTTTGGTCACCACGATGGAATGGATGGAAACTAACCAAAGAGAGAAGCAACCTAGAACTAAGGAGAAATTTCCTGACACTTAGAACAATTAATCAGTGGAACAACCTGCCTCCAGAAGTTGTGAATGCTCCAACACTAGAAGTTTTTAAGAAGAGACCGGACAGCCATTTGTCTGAAATGGTATAGGGTTTCCTGCATAAGCAGGGGGTTGGAATAGATGACTTCCAGGGTCCCTTTCAATTTTATTATTGTTATTATTATTATATCATGTCCAATCAATTTAATTTATCATGGCTTGATTCCAATCAAGGTGTAGAAACGTCAGCAATGATCAAGAGAAATGGGAGGCACCAGAGCTAAATTTCAAGTGTTGTTTCAAAGGGTCTGAACACTTATGCCAATGTGATATTTCAGGGTTTTCTTTCTTTTTAATAAATTTACAGACATTTCTAAAGTTCTGTTTTCACTTTGTCATTATGGGGCATTGAATGTAGATTAATGAGGAAAAAAATGGATTTCAACAACTGTAGAATCAGATTGCAGCACAACAAAATTGACAAAAGTGAAGGGGGTCTGAATAGTTTCTGAATGCATGTATATTGCAGTTCCTCAAATAATGAATAATCTAAATCAAACCTAGGCATTTTATGGCCCACAGGCCATATCCATCTTTCGGTTGCCCATGTCCAGCCTGTGACCTCAGCAGCAGTGGGGGAGTGGGAGGCAGTGGTGATGGGACGGGGCAGAGCAGGGCAGGGCAGGTAGGGGTGGGAGGCAATATCCTCCATTAAAGTCCCAGTTTCTCATATGGCCCCTTTGGAAAATTAATTGGCGTATGGTGGAAATATTAAAAAGCACATCACAATTACATTCTCAATGAACAAATATGAAACAGATTCAGAGGTAAACTATATTACCTATACACGATGCAGTTGCATACAGAAAGTCTCTGGGATTCCCTGTTTCGTGCCCAAAGGACACTGTTGCACAATCTGTTGCACTGTCTGCTTTGGAGCACCCCTGATCTTAACAGAAGTTCTAGAGCTACTTGATATATAAACTAGCTGGCTACAACTTCCTTTTCAATTTTTGTCAACAGCTTCCTCCACTGAGAATCTGGATGCTGAACAGCAAGGCCTTGGATGATTTAGTAGAAATGTTTGGACATTCTATAGTAAAAAATATGAAGATTGTGGGGAGGGGGGAGAATCAAACATTTTGGAAGGGCAAAATCTTGTCCAAAGAATAGTTTGGACCATATAGCAATAATCCTCTGGGCAGCATAAAAAAACCATCATGTTTTCAGAAAACTAAAGCCATGCACCTCAACCAGAGACTCACCCTCCGTCAACAGGGCCTCTGTCGGAAGGGCACCAGGCAAAGAAATCTCCTAAGAATAAGACAGTAGAAGAGAAGGTTAAATAAATGATGGGTGTGATGAATAAGGCAAACAACAAACGTTGATTAAAGAAAGTTAGATACCTCTACTCACATTTCCACATGGATGTGATGGGCAGAAGGAATAACCTTGAGGAACAGAGGCCAGAGCCGCTATGCAGACGATGGTCGGATAAAAGAAACTTGAAATTGCATCAGAACAGTAATCTGAGAAAACATGTCAGAGAAGAACCTTTCTAATTGTCAGAAAGATAAAGCACATTTAGACTTGCAAAATTCTGTTACCATCGCCCTAGAATAAATTTTGCATAAATTTGGTTTCCTAATCTGGTCTATCTTGAAGTGCTTGACAATGGAAGGAGAACTTCAGTGAAGGAGCATCCTTTGGAAGATGAATAGGGTGGCAAATTGAATTTGTTTTAAGAAAATGAATGTACTTTTCCTGATATAAAGCGTATTAAAGCATAGACATCTTGTACAACATATTTTTTCTCATTTTTTTTTAAGAAACAGGCTAAATTAATTGTAATGTCTTGGGAGATCATGATAAGGCCATTGTCTAACATGAACCACCTTCATAAGGAAAGCTGTTACAACTATATTGTTTGTTTTGTCAAACCCAAATGGAGGAAACAAACGAATATTTTTGAGCAAGGTGTTTGCAGTTGTTGGTTTTTTGTTTTTGTTTTTTTTTGTCTCATGTATAACACAGGAAAAAGGAAAATGTTTCCTTGGTTCAGACCATCTGAAGCATGTTTCCAGAGGGACAGGCATTTTCAGGACAGTAAGTACTGAGGTATAAATAACTTTTGCTAAGTTAGTTATTTACTTGTATTTCTTTTAAAAGAAAATAAGCTATGGAAAAACCTAAGGCTTTTTTCCCCGTCTCAGTTGAACTTTGTTCCAAAAACCTTAAGAAAATTAACCAGCTCCGACATATTTCAATTACAAAGGGAAACAATATGATAATCAAACCATGCTTTTGCTGAACTTCATCTTACTGAACTGATTTTCATATAATTACTTCAGTTCAGTTTGCATTACTGATTCTCCTTATTTCCCTCTTGTTGGAAAGCATAAATTTTCCTGTCACAAATTCAAAATAGATTCTATATTAAGTATATTTTTATATGTATATAAAGGTCTAGATTAACTTTGCTAATTTGAAAAATATGCTCTAGATTAATTTTAGTTCGGTCAGACATTATCAAGAAATCGAACTTCCTGTAGCTGAAAGCAAAAGAGTCTCAGCTGTGGTCTTCTAGGAGAAGCCACAAATGGCTGGGTTCATAGTTCTCATTGAACTATCAACCATAATTAACCAACTATAGTGCCTGTGCTCATGCAAATCACATTTCTGTACAGAACTGGAACAAACTATTGTTACATTTTGTTGTTACCTCCTTGACTCCATGAAGGTTTACAGCAAAGCAGTTGTCTATCTACTGTAACTGTCCTCAATCCAACATTCAATAAACAGGTAGACAAAACATTTTTGGTTCTAGGAGCTATTCCTGAGTCTTGGTACTTGAAGAGAGTTTCACGCGGTAGCTATTTAACACCTAGCCATTGAAAATATATGAACTTTCTATAACTGCCTGCTTTTGATTCAGAATAGAGATCTAACTGGTTTGATATGATCTATGTTGATATTGTTGGATCTCTGAGGTCTCAAGCAGATACCTTCCAACTCTACTTTGAGAAGTCATGAACTGAGCCGGGGATTTTTCTCACATATGCCATCTGCTCCATGATCTTCCACAGACCAACACTCCAGTAATTAATCCAACAAGCAAGCCTTTTGCACAGCAGGAGGAAGGAAAGAAAGGAAAGTTGTGGAGATACTATCTACATATTGTGAATAATAACCATAGGTGGAGCTATTCTCTGTGAGTGTATTATGGCTACTATGACAGTGCAAGCAAATGTATGTATGATACACATAGAAAAACAAGCAGAGTTTCAAGCACACTATGAGAGACCCATCTTGAGTTTTATGATCACATCCCATGGACACATCTGAAATAAGCATAGTAAGGTGTGGCAGTCATTCACAGATGTCATGAAAAAGATAATTTGCATCTATGTCTGATGGAGATGAATTTTGTTTTGTATTTCTTTTTCAGCAAGGACAAAGATCATGCTTTTTTTTTCACACATGGGGCAGAATGAACTTGAGATTTTAAAACTGTCCAATTAGCAGAGATAAATTTCCATGCAAAGATTTGGAGAGCTTAAATGTTAAAAATCTGGGGTTTAATCCCTGCTCATTCAACTATGTCTGTCATGTAAAATTAGTCTGCACCCTCTTGATTTCTGACAGGCATCTCATCTTGAAGACCTCCATCCATAAAAGGAAGGTACAATCTTCTCTGTGTTAGGATGGGTTGTATCTACTCAGTTACTTCCTTCAGCTCATTTTTTTTTATTTAACCAAAATGTGCAGATTTTTTTCATAACTGGGATGTGAGGAAACACAACAGTGATTTGATATCTTTATTCCGGCTATGCCTAAAGTTGCTGCTTGTATGAGTTTTATAATTTCACTTGCCATTCCTTTTCTTAAATCTAAAATGAAATTAATGTTTGCTAGCAAAGGAAATTTTCCTTGGCATATTAAACAAAAAAAAAGAGGCCCAATCACTTCTTGTTTTTGCAGTTCTCAATGTTACTTCCCAAAGCTCTCCCATGTTTTATCAAAAGTAGAAAAACAGGAAATCCCAGTGAGCTCACACTTGTCATAGCAAAGACTATAACCTGTAATGTTCAGAGTCAATGGGATTCTTTCACAAAAGAAATGGCCTCAATTAAAAACAGGGAGATGGTAACTCCAGAGGAGAAAGAAAAAATGGACTCTTTTGTCCCCTTGACCAGTTCTTTAAGCAACCATTACATACTTTATTTCATTCAATTACAGAGCAAACACAGCCACTGCATTTTTTTACATCCATGTAAATCAGGGGTGTCCAACCTTGAGAACTTTTAAGACCTGCAGACTTCAATTCCCAGAATGCCCCAGCTAGCCATGCCACACTAGCTATATATATAGACAGATTTCTTGCATTACAGGAAGTTACCCAGAGCATTTTTATAGCAACTGCCATTGTCATGATCAGTCGGGTTACAAAAATGTATGGCTGTGCAAATCCTTTGAAAGAGCTGCCTTGGAAGGTTTGGCAGATCGTTTAAATCACTTCTGGTTAAAGGAGCCATGTTTTCTTTCAGGTTGTAGAAGCTGTTTCCAGTTTTCTTTACAGGCCTGTCACACGCAGCCATTTTGCACTTTTCCCAACAAATTGATGAGACAGCATGCACAGATAGGTGGAAACAAGGAATTGTTCAAGTACAGTAGCCATTTTAACAACATGAAAAAAAAAATCATTTGTGCATTTCCAAGCCCCTCTTTCAATAGATTTGTATAACCCTATTATATAACAAAATACCTTTGGATCCAGGGACACATTTAAGTATTAAACTACAACTATGCAAAGGCTGATGCTAATAAAAATTGTACTAAATCTGTTACTAGAATTTAGTATCAGTTTATTTAGTATTAACACCAACTGTTCTACAGTACTGTACAATGGCACATGGAGATTTTAAAAGCAAATGTGCATAAATGCTTATAATTTTGTATGCCTTTAAATTGCCTATTTGTATTTGCAAATTCCAACTGCAGATATAACTATTTTGTGACATTTACAATTAATGCTAGATACAGCAAAACATATGTTAAGAATATGTGGAACAGATGTAACTTTTAATTAAGATGAATCATTTAATGCACACTCAGTTTTACTTAAGAATTGGGCCATCCTTCAAAAACAACCCCTCCATTCTCTATCAATCCAATTTCACAGGCAACCATTAATTGAAACTCCCCCGGGAATAAATCCATTGCTATCATCTCAATGAGTACAGTATGAAAAAGTATAATTGTTTGGTCTCAGATACCTTAATATTTTCCACTGAATATCAACCTCACCCCCAAACTTTGGTTTGCTTTTCCTCCTCATACTTTTGATGTTAGATCAAACATGACGTTTATCAGTCAGCAGAATGAACTGAACCTATTCAGACTTAAAAGCCTCTGGGTGAGGGATTTCTTTAATCATATTCAGGCCAATTATAAGGATTTCAGGTCTGTGCCACAACGCGGTTCGGTATGAATTGTTGCAATTTAATAGCTCCGGGGTGGGGGCAGGGTAGGGAGAGGAGGGTAGGGAGAGAGACAAATAATAAAGGACTCTATTTTCTTCCTCTAGTACCTTTTTTCCTGCTTTCCTACTTCAAAAGCTAAGAAGGATTAGGGTAACCCATGAGAACAGTGTTGTACACATCTGCTGCCGAGTTCACACAGTTAAGGAATCCAAATGGCTGATCTCCAGGTTAGCAAGATGACATAAGGAGAAGGTATCTGCAAGGCCTAGCGTTATTTCACAGGCCCTTAGCCTCCTGAACAACTGAGTTGCAGAAGAAAACTTTTGTAGGGCAAGCAGGGGAGGAAATATATTAACTTCCTTCAAAATTTTTAGTATACTCAACCAGCTGACTTGAAGGATTCCAACAAAGCCACCTTGGATACAATCTCTCTCTTCCCATTTAATTTATATCACAGATAAATGGTGCTCATAACTTACGTTCCTCAAGATATAATATTGCACCTTTGCGTATTTAAATACAAGCCGCAAACTGAGCTTTTTCTTCAGAATCTTTTTTTATCCCACCTTTATTATGTTTATAAATAACTTAAGGCAGTGAACATAACTAATATTTTCTTCTCTTCTATTTTTCCCATAACAACAACCCAATGGATTGGGAGAGTGACTGGCCCAAAGTCACCCAGCTGGCTTTCAGGCCTAAAGTGGGACTAGAACTCACAGTCTCCTGGTTTCTGGCCTGGAGCCTTAATCACTACACCGAACTGACTCTCAACCAAGTAAGGAACTAAAATAGGATAGAGAAGATCAATGGTCCAAAGTACATCCAAATCATTTACTGATGCAGATACTCTTCCAGGACTGCTGGGAGAACAGATAGTTCAAAACCACATTCTGAAGTCAACATTCCACTCTGCTGGAAAAGTATACACTGCTGAATGTTTATTAGAACTAGGTTACGATAGTAACATGAATTGTGAACTTTGGTTTTTATACTAAATGCCATGGATATATCATGTAGCTAAAACCACCATAGTATGATGCTTAAACATTCAGATGGGAACTGGGCAGATATAAATCCACCTGGAAACAAAAAACAGTGAAGAGATGTATACTCCAGGTAGTCCTTGACTTACAATAGTTTGCTTAGGGACTGTTCAAAGTTACAACTGCACTGAAAAAAGTGATTTATGACCATTTTTCACACTTATGTACATTGCAGCACCCCCATAGTCACATGATTTACAATCGGATGCTTGACAACTGACTCAAATTTATCATGGGTGCAGTGTCCCAAGGTCATGTGATCACTTTTTGCCACCTTCTGACTAGCAAAGTCAATGGGGAAGCCAGGTTCACTTAACAACATGTTCCTAATTTAACAACTACAATGATTCACTTAACTTTTTTTGTTTTGTTCAAGTGTTAGCTTCCCAGAGTCATTTATATGAAGGGCAGTCTATAAAAGTATTAAATGCATAAAAATAATGCCATAGAAAAATAACTAAATGACACTTATAGTCACAACCAGGGATGGACCCATGGACTCTCTAGATCAGGGGTGTCAAACTGCCGGCCCGTGGGCCAGATGCATCATGCCAAAACTGCGCCCACCCCATTGCTGCCAATGGAGAAAAAGTCATGATACGTCACGACACGTCACATGATGTTGCAAGTTTGACACCCCGGCTCTAGATAGACCTGGAATAGGGAAGAGGATGTTTGCACAAGTTTTAACAATTTATTCCCATTGCCCTGGCCAGTATGATCCATGTCAATGGACCATTGTTGGAATGGTCATCTAAAACTTATGTAAAGATTCAAGGTAAGATGTAACTCCTGGGTTTGTAAGTGGGATAGAAGGAATGTTTCATATGCAGGTTGCCTCTAGGACTTCCATAATTTATGCCAGGCTGCCTGTGAGGATATATCATTTAACTAACCTGGTTCTTTTCTTCTCTTTTGGAACCGTGAAATTGCTTTGCCCTGAGAAAGATGGCCTTTCAAGAATTTACCAGTAATGTAGACAGCTTCTTGCACCACTTACATTGCCAATTTGCTTCTTGGTGGAATTCAAGGTGTGGTTACTTGAGGGACCTGTCAGCAGAGACATTGAGAGTCAGGTGGCATACAAGTCTAATAAATTACTATTAATAGCAATAGTTATTTTTAAAAAAACAACTCATGCCATCATTTTCAAACTGTGATTGATACCCAAGAATGGCTCAGGTTAGTTTTAAGAACTTCTACACATAATATTAACCACCACTATAAAGAAGTATTTGAAAAGTCTGGTCAAAGATGGACTCCATGCCTAAGCAGTCAAAGGTTGCTAATGATAAACAAAGCAAGTTGTGCATTGTGGGTCTGGATTCTGTCTTCCTAAAGACTGCCAGCTCTACAGACTCCTCCTCCGACACCATGTTCAAGGGCCTTTTTATTATTATTATTATTTTTTGAAACCATGGTATTCAAGTATTCCAATTACATGCAGACACTCAATGTTCTCTCCCTTTCTCTACATATAGAGTACATGATTAAAATTCATCAAAAAGATAGCTCAATATGAGAACAGTTTGTGGTGATTGTAACAAGATTGCTCTGTTACTGTAATGGTATGTGGGAATGATCTTGGGAGACAGAAGGAAGAGAGAAAGCCAGGGAAAGAATTAGATAAGAGGCAGATAAGGGGAGTGGCCATAGCACACCTAATTTCTTGGGCCGTAAAGGTGACGGGAAAGAAATGCACTTTCAGACTTGCAAGATTCAGTTAATATAACCTTACAGTGCAGTGGAAATATTTCACTTGGGTGAGTTTCCTGTCTGGACTACCTCGCAAGACTGGCAGTTATATACGTGGAATAGAAGCATGGAAAATAAATGGATTAATCTCACAAAGTAGGCCCTACCCATGACAGGCTATGCCAGTGTTTCTCAACCTTGACAATTTTAAGGCATGTGGAATAGAAGCATGGAAAATAAATGGATTAATCTCACAAAGTAGGCCCTACCCATGACAGGCTATGCCAGTGTTTCTCAACCTTGACAATTTTAAGGCATGTGGACTTCAACTCCCAGAATTCCACAGCCAGCATCGCTGGCTGTGGAATTCTGGGAGTTGAAGTCCACATGCCTTAAAATTGTCAAGGTTGAGAAACACTGGGCTATGCTATAGTACATGCAGTGTCTCTTAGGTGGCATTGCATTTTTCACTTGAGTATAACTGCACAAAGTGAATGTAATCAACTTATCACAACATGCTTTAAATTCCGCTGAATACTTACAGTGAAAGTATGGGAGATGGGAGTCAAAAGGTAGGACTACCAAGACAGACTACAGCTTCCAAAGTCCGAAAACTTGAGAAAGAGAGAGAGATGGAAGGAGGAAGGGAAATAAACCAAGAAGTTATGATATTAGGTCAAAACTCCACTATTAATAAGAGGTTAGTCTTTTCACAAAGGTGCCAGATGACCTTGGAGATCAAAGCTGTTCAGTAAAAGTGTGGCTATTAGTAATACAGAAGGATTGTTTGCAAAGTCCTTAATATTATCAATTAATGGTTATATTACAATGCTATTGTGGATTCGAATTATTAGTATTACTTCTTTTAGTGTGTGTTGTTTTGTGTGAACATATTGTTTTATATTTAAGGCTACATCATGGATATTGATGGTTTATATTATACTGTGAATAATCTATATATGCTAGACTTCATTAGACTGTTAGTTGAGGGGACCGGTGGGGGGGGGGAGGTTACATTTTCGTACTTAAAGTTTGTTTGGATTTCTCTGCAAATGTTGAGTTCCCCTGAGCCATCAATCAATGTCATGATTTTTGTATTAATGGCATGTTTTGGCTATGTCAGAATTCCTATTCAGAGAATTAAATCAACCGTTATGATAAAGCAGTAGTATCTGTTGATGACTTTCACTTTCCATGCAAGTAAATATAATACGAAAGCAACAGAGTAGGAGAGAGTGAGAATCACATTTTTCATCTTTTAGCAAAATATTTGAGTGGGAGAGTGAAGGAGTAAGATACTGGCATGTCCAACTCTGGAAATTTCTCAGAGGTACCCAAAAATATTTCCAATTCTACTAAAAAAAATGAGCACTGACGTCATTGATTATTGTTACATTTAGCTAAGGGATTAGAGCACGGGGGAAAATATTTCTGACCTTAAGAAACTTTTAATATTCTAAATAAGCGTTTACAAGGGATCATTTTGTCCCAGAGTAACAGTTCAATCCCACATGCTTACACAAAAATAAACCTCATTGGGACTTAAGCAAAGAAAATATGTTCATAGTCACTTTTTTCCTTAAATCCCTTTGATTGTTTTTCAAAAATGGATGCTCCTCATTTAATTTTTCCTACTTTATCTAGTCTTACAAAATTACATTTAACGCCACTTTACTTTTCAAGAATGGGCAATCATTAAAGAAGATCTGAGGTCTGACTTAAAATATATCTTGTCTGAGATGGTATAGGTTCTCCTGCTTGAGCGGGGGGCTGGACTACAAGACCTCCAAGGTCCCTTCCAGCTCTATTCTATTCTAAAAGACCTTGTGTATAGGACTACAAGCTAAACGTGCTTGAATCTATTTTATGACTTTGGGGGGAGGGGAAAGGCTAAATCCCAAACCATAACAAAAACAGACTCCGGAAAGTTGTATCTCTTCTATCCGCTATGGCTCTTATAAAGTTTTCCTGCCTATATCCAAGGAGAACCAGATTGACAGCATTTGAACTTCATCCATCAAATCCATCAGTATTCTTCTTTGGAACAATTAGGAAATGTTCGTTAAAAAAAAATACTGCCCGTTATTTCCAGAAAAAATAATCATGGGAATCTGGTTCTCTGACATTGGGTTAACACAGCTAGAAAACTACAGGCAATTGCATCACAGTATAAACATTCCTTGGATAAGGTTTGAGGCAATTGAGTTGGCTCAGAAAACACAAATGAATTTGACTGGGCTAGACGTGGTCTCTTTAATAAATTCATAGAGCTTTTCTGCATATTCCTCACTCTGCTCGTACACACATTTGTGTATGTGCTTGCAAAACTCTTTAAATGTACAAAGACGTAGTCAAGGGACACAGCAGAACAACTATGTTACATTTGTTGTCTGACAATCCCCAGGTAATAGATGGGTACTTCTGCTTTTGATGGCGAGGTGGCGCAGCAGTTAGAGTGCAGTACTGCAGGCCACTTTAGCTGACTGTGTTCAGCAGGTCAGCGGTTCAAATCTCACCGGCTCAAGGTTGACTCAGCCTTCCATCCTTCTGGGGTAGGTAAAATGAGGACCCAGATTGTTGGGGGCAATGTAAATATATATATACATTGCTTACTGGTGTACACTGCTTAGAGAGTGCTTGTACTTAAAGCGGTATATAAGTCTCATAAATAAATTTATTAGATTCATACGGCTGCCAATTTCATCAAAGGCAACTCTATACAAGATAGCTACAATAATCTACCGTAAGAATACCATTTGTAACTCAGAGTTGAACTGTGAGATCTTTAGCGCTCTCTCTGGTGGTTTTCTTACACACATTTCATTACCCAATTAGATAATACTGATGATGTTATCTAGTTGGGCAATGGGATGTCTGCAAGAAAACCAAGTTTAGAAAGCACCAAGGACCTAACATAAGAATTGAGAAGATTTGCCCCAACCCTGTGGCTCTTCAAAAGGCACCAAAAACTTGGTTTTCCCATCAACCCTGCTCAGAAAGAGAGCTTTTCAATATAGTTGTGTATGTGCTTGCAAAAGGCTTTAAATGTGAAAACAAAAACAGTCACAGTTGATCTACCTTGGAAGCTTTCTTAGGATGACAATATTCTTCCCGTGTAACACTGAATGCATATTCAGAAAGACACAACCTATTCAAATATGGATTCTTCTTTATTTTGTTATGAAAAACACTGCCCAGCTTTAAATAAATTAGCTGTCGTCTCCGTGATAAGGTTTCTTTCAAAAACCCACGTTCTCCCTCCAGCTGAGGCCTCCTGTCTAAAGAGACCATACAACTCTACCAACATGCTCTTTTCTTTTCTCCCCCCCCCCACCCCAAATTTATTTCAGAGTGCAGCATGAAATCTGATCTCTTCAGAGAGTTAGGGAAATGGAGAAGAGAGACAGCAGGGGAGGGAGAGCAGGGGAAAAGTTTAATGCCAACAGGAGAAATAGACCAGAAACACTCTAGAGATATGCTAGGGTTATAATTAATGGCATGAGGTTAGAACTTGCAGATGACAATTCAGGAAAAGGTCAGCATCCTGCTATAATCTGCCTAATGGGGGACATGGTCTCAAAACAGTTCTGCCCCATCCCACCTCAAGTAGATGCCTTGCACTGGAGTTTGCTATTTGCTATTTTGCTGATCTTGGAGTCACATCTTTCTCACCCCACCTGTATCCTCTCCTTGCAATGAAATGAAGTAATTCCAAAAGCCCTTCTCCCACAACCCCCGTGGAGTTCTCCGGATGTGTTCAGGGACAAATCCCAGGATCCCCTTGTAGACTGTGGACTACATAGTCTAGCACATTTGAAGGCCACCGGGCTGGATAAAAGTACTGTAATCTTTTTGGGATTAATTACCAGCCATTGTAATACTCACACTAGCTCCTTTCCATGCAGTGTAGCTGTTATTCTTGAGTTTGTTATGATCTAATCCAGTTGTTCTTAACCTTTTTAATGTCGCGACCCCCAACCGGTCGTAAGTCGAGGACTACTCAACCGGTTGTAAGTCGAGGACTACTCAACTGGTGCAGCACCGTTTGCAGAATGGGACTTTTGGCGGGCTCAGCAGGGCAGAGACAGCCTGGACAATTCCTATTGGCTTTTGAAAGCCAATAGAATTAGACTCTATTCAAGAGAGTCTATTCTATTGGCTTTCAAAAGCCAATAGAATAAAAGGGAGTAGCACAGCTAAGGAAAAGGGGAAAAAAATGGCAGACTACGTTGTTTGGTGACCCCCGTGAAATGATCATTCGACCCACAGGTTGAGAACCACTGGTCTAATCAGATGGAAGACATATACACGCTCACTCACACACGCACACATAGAAACACACACACACACACACACACACACACACACAGACAGACAAAACACTCCCAAAGTTGAAGTATTAGTACCTTTGTATAAATCCTTAATGAGACCACACCTGGAATACTTCATCCAGTTTTGGTCACCAAATTACAAAAAAGATG